AGTTCTGATTCTGGGTTTGGAGGTGAGCTTGTGATGCAAAGGGTTACCAAGACCATTGCGCTTATGGATAGGGTTGCTAAGCTTGATGATCCTCAGTGCGAGCTGTTGTTGCTTAGGGCTTGTACCGAAGTTTCGAAACTCTACTTTGCTTTGCGTACTTGTCCACCTAATACTTTTGAGGAGGCTCAGTACACATTTGACGAGGCTCTTTGATCTTCCTTGGAGCGTATCGTTGCTGCTTCAGGGCTTGGGTTTGGCGATTGGCAGTGGCGGCTAGCCACCTTACCTTTTGCTTATGGCGGGCTTGGTGTTTATTCCGCAGGTGATGTTCGTCATTATGCTTTTCTTGCTTCGCGGTTACAGTCTGTTGGGTTGCAAACACAGCTTCTACGGCATGCTGGCGTTGTTGGCCTTGGTCGAGCCTTTGAGGATGCGCTGAGCTTGCTCAATAGAATAGTGGAGTCTGACATTTTGAGTAATCCCAGGGAGGTCGCTGCCCCTAAACTCATGAAAAAATTGGCAGATATATATTTCACAAAGGTTACCGATTCTGCAGAATCCACCTTCTCTTTATCTCCTCGTCAATCAACATTGTGGAAATCGCAGCAGGGAGATCACACCTCTACTTGGCTTCGGGCGGTTCCTATTTCAGGGTTGGGACAGACGATGAACGCAAAGACTTACAGATGTGTGTTGTGTTACCGGATGGGTGTTCCATTGTTCTCTGTCTCAACGCCGTGCTCTGCTTGTTCTCGGGTTTTTCTTGGGGATATTTTCGGTGATCACGCGGTGTTGTGTGCTGGAATTGTGGGTCTTAAACATCGGCATAATGTTGTCCGGGATACCCTTGTTGATATCTGCTACAGATCTGGGATTTCAGCAAGAAAGGAGGTTGACATAGGGTTATTTGGAGGGAATGACAGGGCCCTTAGACCTGCTGATGTGTTACTGTATTCCTGGGATCGTGGACGCGATGTGTGTGTGGACTTAACAGGGTCTTCTCCTTTGACACAGACGGGGATATCTGACTTTGGACGAGTTGTGGCTGATGCGGCTCATCGAAAGCGGATAAAATATGAAGCTAGTTATCGGCTGGTTGGATATGGTTTCATTCCCTTCTCCTTTTCTTCGCTTGGGGAATTAGAGAAGGAGGTTCTTACATTGTTGAACGGGTTCAGAGGTTCTCGGTGACGCAAGACATTGGGGCTCGTGCTGCAGCTCATATCTTCACTAGGGTAGGCTTTGCAATAGTTAGAGGAGTGGGGGCCCAGAATGTATCTCAGCTTCCCACTAATTTATTGTAGGTTGTATGACTTTGTCTGTTTTTGAGATGACTTTGTCTGTTTTTGGCTGTGAATCGGTTGATTGAGGACCGTGGCTCTGATGTGGGTCTTTCTATGTTGTTGGTGGATTTTAAAAATGCCTTCAATCTTGTTGATCGTACGGTTATGCTGCGTGAAGTTCGTCGTCATTGTCCGGGCATTTCGCGTTGGGTTGAATTCTGCTATTCTAATCCAGCCAGATTGTATTATGGGGAACAATCCTTATGGTCGTGTCAAGGAGTGCAGCAAGGTGATCCCCTTGGTCCTCTACTTTTTGCTTTGGTTTTACAGCCCCTGGTTTGTAAAATCAGAGATGCTTTTGACTTATGTCTTCAGGCGTGGTATTTGGATGACGACACTGTTATTGGTGACACTTTGGTGGTGGGGAAGGTTCCGCAATTGATTATGGAGGAAGGACCTCGGTTTGGGTTACACCTTAATGTGGAAAAAACTGAAGTTTTCTGGCCTACAGAAGACCCTCGAAGCAAGCTTGTGGGTGTTTTTCCGCATAATATTGCTCGACCTTTGCGTGGTGTTAAGCTGCTTGGTGGTCCTGCTAGTTCCGATTCCGGTTTTAGTGGTGAGCTTGTGATGCAGAGGGTGACCAAGACTATTGCGCTTATGGATAAGGTTGGTATGCTTGATGATCCTCAGTGTGAGTTATTGTTACTTAAGGCCTGTACCGGAGTTTCTAAACTCTACTTTGCATTACGTACTTGTCCTCCTAGTGCTTTCGAGACGGCTCAACGCACATTCGACGGGGCTCTTCGATCTTCTTTGGAGCGTATTGTTACTGCTTCGGGGTCTGGGTTTGGTGATTGGCAATGACGTCTTGCCACCTTACCGTTTGCGTTTGGAGGGCTTGGGGTATATTCCGCTGATGATGTTCGTCATTACGCTTTTCTTGCTTCTCGGTTACAGTCAGCAGGGTTGCAGACACATCTTTTACGACATGCTGGCATTGTTGGTCTGGGACGAGCCTTTAGAGATGCGTTAAGTCTGTTTAATGGAATAGTGGAGTCTGACATTATGAGTAATCCTAGTGAGATCGCTGCCCCTAAACTCATGAAGAAATTGGCAGATATATATTTCACAAAGGTTATCGTTTCTGCAGAATCCGCTTTTTCTTTGTCTCCTTGGCAATCAGCATTGTGGAAATCGTAGCAGGGAGATCACACCTCTTCTTGGCTTCGGGCAGTTCCTATTTCAGGGTTGGGTCAGACGATGAATGCAAAGACCTACCGATGTGTGTTGTGCTACAGGATGGGTGTTCCATTGTTCTCTATCTCGACGTCGTGCTCTGCTTGTTCTCGGGTTTTTACTGGGGATATTTTTGGTGATCACGCGGTGTCGTGTGCTGGTATTGTGGGTATTAAACATCGGCATAATGTTGTCCGGGATACTCTTGTTGATATTTGCTACAGATCTGGGATTTCAGCAGGAAAGGAGGTTGACATAGGGTTGTCTAGAGGGAATGAAGGGGCACTCAGACCTGCTGATGTGTTACTTTATTCATGGGATCGTGGTCGTGATGTTTGTGTGGACTTAACAGGGTCTTCTCCTTTGACACAGACAGGGCTATCTGACTTTGTTCCTGGACAGGTTGTGGCCGATGCGGCTCATTGGAAGCGGGTGAAGTATGAAGCTAAGTGTCGGCTCATTGGATATGGTTTCATTCCCTTCTCCTTTTCTTCGCTTGGGGAATTAGAGAAGGAGGCTGTTGCGTTGCTGAAGCGGGTTTAGAGATTCTCGACGACGTAAGACATTGGGGCTCGTGCGGCAGCTCATATCTTCGCTAGGGTAGGCTTTGCTATAGCTAGAGGAGTGGGGGCCCAGCTTGTATCTCGGCTTCCCACTAATTTATTGTAGGTTGTATGACTTTGTCTGTTTTTGAGATAATAATAATAATAATAATAATAATAATAATAATAATAATAATAATAAAACAACAACAACAACAACAATAATAATAATAATTTTGATCCAAATAATGACACTAAAAAAAGTAACGAGTACAAGTAATATTCTAGAGGCATAAGCTAACGAGCACCCTAGGACGTTAGATAGAGAACTAAAAGTGAGAATATTAATAATAAAATAAACATTAATTACACCGATCCACCCGTAATTTCGACATGCATTCCAAACTCAATACTACTATTTTAGGTAATATAAAGCTAAAGAATACCCTGGGAGTGTTGGATAAGAAAACTTAAAGTAAAATTATTAGCTTAAAATAAACATTAATTACCCCGATCGATGCGAGATTTTGACATGCATTCCCAAATTAATACCATTTTTAGAAAATATTTTAAAAGGTTATCCAACGTCCCAAGGGCAGTTCGTTAGCAAGATACGCTAATTAGTTATCTAATGCCTCCGAACGCTCGTTAGCAAGACCCCTTAATAAATCCTTACCTTTTAAAAAGTATGAGAAAACACTTATAAATAGTGTGAGGACAATTATATCCTTAAAATGTTTGTTTACCTATATGCCTCCTATTTATATGATGTTAATTGCTTCAAAACCTTTTCTTGTGTAATTTAATCATTAACTCTTATAAATGGTGTTTGGACAATTATACCCTGTAAAATGTAGATTTACTTATTTGTCCTCATTAACGTTAATTATTTTTGTAAAAAACTCTGTAAGAATAGTGTATGCAAAGTTATTAAAATCGGGATTCTACTTTGAATCGGAATGAGCTCTTAGAATCGAATCATAAAATCGAATCGTAGAATCGTAAGATTCTACCGACATGCATAATTAAGACGTCATATCTAAATTTAATTAAATATATTTAAGTTATGAGTTTGAAACCTAATTATTTATAGAAAATAGTTGTTTACCCATTAAGCAACCAATATAATTGACAATATATAACTATATAGGCATGTTTTAAACTCTTAAGAATTTCGCTAGTTTAGAGAAATATGTAAAATCGGGTGAAATCGTAAATTGAATCGTATGACATACATGAATCGTAAAATCATAAGAATATTCTAAGATTTAAATCGGGATTTTAATAACAATGAGTGTATGGATATTTATACCCCTAAAAATATTTGTTTATATATTTCTCTCATTATGTTGCAACAACTGAAAGAGTTCACCGAAAATGGCTAGTTATGGCGCGTGCATCTGAATAGTATGAGGACAATTATATCCTTAAAATGTTTGTTTACCTGTATGCCTCTATTGATATAATGCTAATTGTTTCAAAGCTTTCCTTGTGCGATTTAGTGATTTAACTTTTATGAATAGTGTTTGGATAATTTTACCCTCTAAAATATTAATTCACTTATTTGCCCTCATTAACGTTAATTGTTTTTTTTTAAATAACTCTTTAAGAATAGTGTATGGATATTTATACCCCTAAAAATATTTGTTTACATATTTCTCTCATATGTCATATGAAAGAATTCCCCAAAAATGGCCAGCTATAACCCGTGCAAGCCACCTAGTTATTGAATAAGTTTGGATAAAAAGCACGCACCCATCGGCTTTCATTCCACCCTCATCAATTAAGCCAAACAGTACCAGACCAATCAAGAAATCTAGCCCATATCCTAAAACTGTACAAGAAACAATTCCGTATACAATAATTAATCTTCTATTGGTCATTATATAAAAATTTAAATATATATTTGTTTTATATGGTGGTGTGGAAATTATATGGTCCACGTTTTATTTGGAGGGATTTTGTTTGGCACCTTTTATTTCTGATTTTCTGAAGAAATAAGGCTTGGAATTTATGAGGTTGTGGTGCTTTGCTGTTTCTTCAGCTCTGTTTACCTTCACTAAAAACTTTTTCTGTTTTTTGTTTTGGGTTTTCAGGTTGATCCCTCTTTTCATTTCAACTGATCTTCCTCACCTTAATGTTGGTTAGTTTCTCTCTTTCTCTCTCCTCCCCTTAACATACATGTAAAATTGAGATGAAAATGATGCAATGGGAACTTAAATGGCTGTATGATTACAGTTTTATGTGTAATTTAATATATTGTTGATGGGTTTTTCTGGGTTTTTGCTTTTTTACTGATTGTTGTATGATATTTGCATGTTTTTGATTTATGTTTTAAATGAGTTATTTTTTTTAGAAAGATCAAAGGTTTCTATAATTGTGTGAGTTTGGTTGTGTGGGTAATTCTGTGAATTGTCAGTTTCTGTTGTTATTGTACTAAGATTTGTAATTGTTTGTACTCTCAATAGTGCACCAATGGGGTGTAGCTTTGTTACCTGGACTCTTTGTTTTACCTCAATTACCCGTGCTAGATCTTAGTAGGCACTCGGACATGGGTATTGACACTTCTTGACACTATTTTGGATAAAAAAATATTGAATATTTTAGCCATGTCTGACACTTGGATACATACTCGTCAACTCGTGTATGATATGAGATGCCGAGCTCAAAGTAACACTGTAACATAGAGCGTTAATGACAAATTTGTACAAATGTGAGCTCTTATTTGTACATGGGTAAACTTTATGTTCATGATTTTGAGGGTATAGAAAGAAATAGGTTTAAAAGCATGGATCATATTGTATGATCTATAGTGTGGTCTCCCCTACTACTCTAGGTTTACCACTTTACCTTACTAGTGATAAAGTCTTGCAGGTTTTGATTGCCAAAAAAATGTTAAATGTTCTAATTCTGATAAGCGTTTGCTGATAGGCTTCTGTTGCCTCTAATTCTTCACTTTGGCAAGCCTTGATGTTACCTTTCATGAACAATTATGTCATGTTTATGAGCGATGATCTACGATATTATGAATTTCTGTATTTTGAGATAATTTTATGACTGAAGGTTGCTCATTATATTGTTATAAATGGCTGAGTTTATTTCTACCTAGTTTGCTAACATGTGAATTTCTTGTTTTGTGAAGGAAATTCTGAAGAAGGGATTATATTTGTGAGGATCGATTATATTCTTTGGATGAATTGAAGGAGTGAAGGAGATCGAGTAGATACTCGTGGTTTGGATATATTGCTTTAGATCTTGAGTCTCTTGTTAAGAGACTGTGTCAGTCTTAAGTTGTTTACATATATAATCTCAAACTGGTTGCTGTCACAAATTTTCATGACATTTAACATAAAAAGATGCTGGAGGTTCGAAGGAGAGTTGTATATAGATATATGAAGATATACTCTGAAGATTTCCTATTTGTGGTTTTTTATTCCGGGTAGATGGCAAGATGAGCAATATACCTTGGGAGAATGTGTTTTTACTGAATGTATATTCTTGGTGAGGTAATATCTGGATGAAAATGGAAGGTTCATCTGATACTGGTTGGCGGAAATCTGCTAGTTCTAGAGGATTGGATACTTCTGCATCTTCAGAAAGAAATCTGAGGCTACTCCATGAAAGTAGACGTAGCTTATCTACTGATGCGTCACGCAACTCAGTACTTGTAGCTATGGATCCTGTAGTTCACAGCATTGAATGGGGTGATGTCAGCTTGAGGCGGTGGCTGGACAATCCAGAACGCAGCATTGATGCGATTGAGTCGTTGCATATATTTAGGCAGATTGTTGAGATAGTCAGCACTGCACATTCTCAGGGAATTGTGGTTAATAATGTACGGCCTTCCTGTTTCATAATGTCTTCCTTCAACCATGTATCCTTCATTGAGTCTGCTTCTTGTTCAGATTCAGGATCAGATTCCTTGGAGGATGGGTTGGATGGCCAAGATACAGAGAGTAAACAACCTTGTTCATCCTTGTGCAATGATGATCTGAATGAGCAGAGAAGTGGGTCAAGCTATAGAGAATCACAACTGATACCAGATACCATTGGCTCTAAGTCTCAAACAATCCAGGCAACAAATCCATTTTCTGTAGAAGAGAAAGGTTGGTGTGAAACTAAGGACACAAAAGGCTATAGAAAGGCTGGAGAAAAGCGGTCTTTCCCAATGAAAGAACTTTTGCTGATGGAGTCAGGTTGGTATACTAGCCCAGAGGAAATTGCTGGTGCCCCATGTTCCTGTGCTTCAGATATCTATCGCTTAGGTGTTCTTCTATTTGAGGTCTGTAAACATGGTATTGTCTATGCATTCCTAAGAATCTTGGTTGTCTTAGGCATTTGTTGCTATATTATCTTTACCTTGGAAATTTTGTTGTTTTTCTGATTCCCATCTACCTCTTGCCTGCAAAAATGTAAATTATACTCCATCCAGAAATATTTGTCACAGTACTCCAATCCCTCATAAGTGAGCATATGGCATGATTTTTTGGAAAGGCCCATTGGGTTGTAACCACACTCTAATCATCACTCAATTCAAGAAAGTGGGAAGTCCAAAAATAAACTATTACTAGTCAAGATAAGGTGATAGATTTTTAAGATCAACCATTATTATTTGAGGTAAGGCAACAACATTTTTCGGGAATCATGAAATAGTGTATTTGACAATTATTTCTGGATGGAGTAAGTATAGAGGAAATCAGAAGAGGAAGGGTAGCTAATGTTGAAAGTATCTGATGAAACAGTTATTTTGCACGTTTAGCTCCATTGAAGAAAAAAGCGGAACAATGTCTAGTTTACGACATCGAGTTCTTCCCCCACAACTTTTGTTGAAATGGCCTAAAGAAGCTTCATTCTGCTTATGGTTGTTGCATCCAGACCCTTGTAGTCGACCAAAAATGGGGTAAATGCTACTAATTATTCTTCAAATTAGTTTATTTGGTTTGTATTTCTGTTGATTTATGTGTTCCTTACATTCTCAAGGATGGAAATTTTTAATTGTTAGTATTGTAGTAGATTAGGCATCTACCACCAATACTTCTTTTTTGGCTTTCTTTCATGCGTAAAATTAGCCTGCTTGTTTTACTTTTACCAAAGTTTCTCTAAACCAAAACTATTAAAACTAGTTTTTTTTTTTTTTTTTGAAGCCAACTATTAAAACTAGTTAAAACAAGTTATTAATAATGAAATTTGAATACTCCTACCGATCTCAAATAAAAGTTCCATTTGCCGTTTGGTCAAGTTTTTAGTTTGGTGAACAATAGTTTCTAATTACGAACTTTGGTCCTTCAGAACTTGTAAATTATTTATGATCAATCTTCTCTCTCTGCCAATATCAGTGATCTGCTGCAAAGTGAGTTTCTTAATGAACCTAGAGATAATTTAAATGAGCGTGAAGCTGCAATAGAACTCAGGGAAAAGATAGAGGAACATGAATTGTTGCTTGAGTTCCTTGTGCGTATGAGACAGGCCAAACAGGATGCTGCCAGTAAGTTGCAGAACACGGTTTCCTTTTTATCTTCTGATATTGAGGAAATTGTAAATAAGCAAAAAGCACTAAAGGAGAAAGGAGGCACTTTCTCAGGTTCGGAGAGGATTCGGCAGTCAGCACCAGATCTCATTCCAATCAAATCTGTTGAACATGATGCAACAGATCATAACAGGCAAGAAATTCAGATACATGATGCCGTGAAGTTTAGTTCTGTTGAAAGTGAAAGTCATAATCAGGAAAATTTGCTTTCAAAGAACTCGCGATTGATACAAAACTTCAAGAAACTTGAGTCAGCCTACCTTTCAACAAGGCACAGGCCAGCCAGGCTGTCAGGGAAGCCAGTGGGTGGCCATTCTCAGCTTAGCAGCAATAGTAGAGGGTCTGTAGTTTCTAGTGTTTCATTAGCAAAAGAGCAAAGGAGTAATAATGGAGAAAGTGGGTGGATTAGCCCCTTCCTTGAAGGTTTATGTAAGTATCTGTCGTTTACTAAATTGAATGTAAAAGCGGACTTGAAGCAAGGGGATCTTCTGAACTCTTCAAATCTGGTATGCTCTGTCGGTTTTGATCGTGATGGAGAATTTTTTGCAACTGCTGGTGTAAATAAGAAGATTAAAGTATTTGAATGTGATGCCATCCTCAATGGGAATCGTGATATTCATTATCCTGTCACTGAAATGGCCTGTCGCTCAAAGCTTAGCAGCATTTGTTGGAATAGCTATATCAAAAGCCAGATTGCATCTAGTAATTTTGAAGGCGTAGTGCAGGTGGGTTCACTCTCTTTGAGCATTATGTTGATTTCTAAAAGTTTCATCCTCATTTCTTTGTGACATTTGTAGGTATGGGATGCTGCAAGAAGCCAAGTGTTTGTGGAACTCAAAGAGCACGAAAGGAGAGTCTGGTCTGTTGATTTTTCATCAGCAGATCCAACACTGTTGGCAAGTGGAAGCGATGACGGTTCAGTCAAACTCTGGAGTATCAATCAGGCAATTCTATTACTGCATTTGGTGGCTGTCAGCTTTGACACTAAATGTACTGTTGTTATCTAATTACTGTTGCTACAAGGTCAATGTTCTGGGATTGTGATGATTTGTTTCTCTCACATGGGTTGTTGCTGCAGGGAGCAAGCATCGGTACCATCAAAACCAAAGCCAATGTCTGCTGCGTTCAGTTTCCCATAGATTCTGGTCGTTCTCTTGCTTTTGGTTCAGCAGACCACAAAATATACTACTATGATCTGCGGAGTCCTAGAGTACCATTATGCACATTGATTGGACACAACAAAACTGTAAGCTACATCAAGTTTGTGGATTCCAACACTCTGGTATCTGCATCAACAGATAATACTCTGAAGCTTTGGGACTTATCACTGTGTGCATCTCGGGTTGTTGAGGGCCCTCTTCAGTCATTTACTGGTCACACAAATATGAAGGTATGCATTGACCTGATGTGATCTATTATGGTTGCTCTTATTTATTTTGCTGGATGTTCAGTCTGATAACTTATCAGCAATGTGCTAGTACCTATGCTCTTTTAGCTATGTTGGTGCTAGTAGCCTAGTGTAATTAGGTGCAATTTTTTTTTTTTTTTTTTTTTTATGTGATAAAGTGTAGATAATATTCACCAATGTATAAATCTATGCTCCTCTCCTACCTAACGATATGGATCACAAATATTTTCAATAGGCATCATTGCAAAATTTCTGTAAAGGTATGCAGCTTCTGTACATGAAATAAAAAGAAGCAGAAGGTTACTATTATTCATACATTACCGTTTTCTCCAAAGCCTTCATAAACAGGTAGTCCGTGATAAGGCGATATTGGAAGGGCTTCTGCGGAGTTGGAGTATTTTATTAGATCAGCCTCACCCTACATTAAAAATAAACTTGAAATAAAATCAATGTAGTAGTTGTAATTGTGCATACTTTGACTTGTTACTGGTTCCTGTCAGCCTATGGCTTAAATGATTGATTGTTGCTGCTAATTCTTTTCTTGATTTCAGAACTTTGTAGGTTTATCTGTATCAGATGGTTACATTGCCACAGGTTCTGAAACAAATGAGGTAAGATCAATTGGATAGGTTGTCTTCATATATTAACTACTTCGTATTAAGTTGCTCTTGATTCCGTGAAATATAGAAATTGTTAGTCTACAGATCTCATACCACTGTACAAAGTTACCATGAAAATAGTAGTAGCTTTTAATATGCAAATTGCAAAGAAAGTAACCATGAAAAAGTGATTGATGTTAGTAATATTTAAAATTGAAGAATTTTCTAAATATGTTCCTACCATTACCATATATTTTGCTACTTGAGCCCTTTTCGTCTGATCTGAATGTAGTCATGCCAATCCTCTTACAAGTTGCCTTTAAACCATATGTTTCCTCTTTGTGGATGTTCCAGCTTTTATTGAAACTTTTTGTTTACTTAATCACGAAAAAAAATGATAATGTAGTATTACTGCTGTACTTTTTATGATGTCATTTTACAGTAAGCGCATACATTAGCAAGTCATTATGAAATTTTAGCCTAAGAATACCATAAATGAGTGATGATTAGTATGAAAAATCGAAGCATAAGGCAATTGATGGACTTTACTGCTATGTGTATATAGGAAAAAAAAAAGTGATGGTTTATATATTTCAGTATTTGCTAAAATGTACTCCGTGTATGTTAAAAATCAGCTCTACTTGTCCATAGTTGTCTGATTCTGATGAGCATGTATAGGCAACTAATACTTAAAATCAAATTGATCAACAGCCACTGACAACTTTCCAGCTCTAGATTAGATTTGTTTGCTGAAATTAGTTGTGGTGCCTATGAACAGGTGTTCATTTATCACAAAGCCTTTCCGATGCCAGCTCTGTCGTACAAATTCAGCAGTTTAGATCCACTTTCGGGCAATGAAACAGAAGACGCTGCACAGTTCATCTCTTCTGTTTGTTGGCGTGGTCAGTCATCAACGCTTGTAGCTGCAAACTCCACTGGAGATGTCAAGCTGCTGGAAATGGTTTGATTTTTAATTTGCCTTCAGCTGGCAAAGTAAGATGTATAGAAGAATTGGAGGAGCTACTCCCTACAGATTCCTTTTTCGAGCATTGTTTGCTTGAACATTTCGCTTGGTGAATTGGTTGGAGGGATTAACCATAGCAATTTTGATATTAGATCAGAGCCGATGCCATGGGTGTAAAGACTCGGATATTATTTGCTGTAAATAATTTTTTTAGGCACAAAGAAGGGTAATATGATCATGCCCTTGTATAACCCTCTTATATAGGTCAAAAACTTATTTTCTCACTGTTGGAGCCTTCCAATTAGTGATTTTGTGATGCTAAACTTTCATTTTTCAGCAATGCAATTTAAATGAAATACGTAGTATATCTTAACGATGTTACATATAGTCTTTCATTAGTTTCCTATGAGAGGATAGTATTAAAAGTTGTACTAGTTTCGTGTCCTGTGCGATGTTCAGATTGTTTATTAAATTTTAAGATAATTTTTATATTATTTTTTATTTTTATTTTATTTATTTTTTTATGCTAAATTTTAAATCATATCATTAATATAAGCTTTATTTAAGGAGGTTTGTTATGGAGGATTGGTAATGTGTCGATGGTGGATATTTGGCGGGATCCTTGGGTTGACAATGGTGTTAGCAGGTTCATTACTTCTCCAATTTCTAAAGATGTCTCTCGGGTTAGCGATTTAATTGATCATAATTCTCGCGATTGGGATGTGCAACGCATTGTGTAGGCGTCATTCGAAGCGTGCCTACTTTAAGCATGTGGTGAATATGCTTGGCACTCGTAGGAAGTGAGAATTGACATACGATTAGGGACAAGGAAAGTAGGGAGCCGCCAATAAGTTTTTAAGGAAATTGAAAACCGTTCACGGATCATTTAAGACAACCACGATAAGGGACAACGATAGGCAACAACGATTGACCAGTGAAGGTTACACCCCATTAATAATCCATGAGATTACTAACTCCATATGGTTTGGAACCACGAAAGGAGGATCGGGGATGATGGTACGAAGTGAGTCATGGAGTCACATTCGCCCGTATTGGCCTCTACTCGATTCTTATTGCGAAAAGTATTTCCTTTGATCTCAAAAGGCATGCAAACAAAGATCTAATTTGCTCCAAACTAATATTAAGATAAATTGGTTGAATATTAATGCAACACATAATTCTAATTATTAGTGATCACTTCGATTAAACAATAAGATTAAAAAGGAACCTAAACCGATCGTCCAAATTATCTTATTAGGCGTTATCTTCAATTACATATTCCCTTTAAACATGGAATATAGTGATCAACAATAGACAATAAAATAAACATCAACGTTGGAATCAATTTAACCATAATATCGTTAGTCAAATAATCAAATCATAATAATAACCCTAATCATGATACTAGCAATAAAGAATAAAAATAAGAGTAATTAAGTGATTAATTACTCACTTTCCGTGTTTCCTTGAATTGCTACATCATGAATAAATTGTTAGTAACTTCAATAAAAATATAAATCAAATTGAAACAATTAAATTAAATAAAAAGTAGAGTTGATTTGGTCCAAACCCTCAGTTAATTCTACCTTTCACGCCTTGGTTTAAGTATAGAACTTCGGGTCAAGTGTGGACTCCTTGGAGTGCTTAGGGGAAGTATTATGAGAGAATAGGGAGGCTAGTGTTTAGGCTCAAAAGAGAGGAGAATAATTGTTGGTGCAAGGAGAAAGAGAATGATTTTGGTGCCCCCAAAACTGAGGAAATCAGCCTCGTATTTATAGAGAAAATGTGAGGTGAAAAGGCGCCACGGAGAAACCCTAGAAAAATGTCGTGTCACGGCATGTGTGCCGCGACACGGCGCGGAATACCGTGACATGGCGCGGAATACCGTGACGCGGTGTGTCTGTTGTGACACGGTGCACCTGTTTTCCTGAAAACAATCCAGATTCATTTATTCCTTGCTTAATAATTAAGTACATGATATATTATTCGCCGTTTCAACTATTCCGTATTAATTTCAGGCTTAGGGTTTTTATTATTTATTAATCGGGCTTAATTAATAAATAACACGAAGTGAATTAAAATGGTTTGGGCTAGGATATGAGTTGAACTATGCTTTGACTAAACATTAGGAAAGATCTGTTGACTGAATATGTTTGACTGAACGTGGGTTTTAAGCACTCTCGAGATTAAATACTCGACTCGACCAATAATGACGGTGAAAGGGTGTTCATCATCGGGTTTGGTTTTGGAGAGACATTTTTAGGTGTCTACAGAAGCCCCCACTTTGACTGAGTTTGTAAAAACGTCAGTTTCGAAAATGATAGTCAAAGTAGTCTATTGGGATGGAGAATGATTTAAGACGTTCGACGATCCTAAACCACTCTGTATACGCCGATACTTGCAGAAAAGCGTTAATTTTACAGATAAAAGAGTAAAGGGATAGAATGCGTATCTAACACCAGTACTTGGCAACAAACACAATTGGTAGTTTTCTACGCCTCGAGAAATCCACCGGATGAAGACTGATATGATATTTTTCCACGCCTCGGGAATGCTATTAGAGGATATTTTTTCCATGCCTCGGGAATGCTGTTAGATGATATTCTTCCCCGCCTCGGGAATGCTGTTAGATGATATTTTTCCCCGCCTCGGGAATGCTGTCTAGATGATGTTATTGTTGACTCCTATTCCTTGAGAACACTCAACGACCGACAATTTTCTACGCCTTGTGAAAAACTTGTCTGATATGAGATAATTTCCTCAAAATCGCCGACTTCAACGCCTCGAGAAGTGTGCAATGACCGACAATTCTCCACGCCTCGGGAAATGCTTGTCTGATCTGAGATAGTGTCCTCGCCTCAGGTTCTCTATCGTGAGCCACTCCGCCTTGTGTAGCACATAAGTGAAATTCCATACTCCGGGAATAACACTAAATGTCCCTGCCTTGAGACATAATCGTTAACTTGTACGCCTTGAGAGGTGGCAACGACCGACAATTCTCCACGCCTCGGAAAAAGCTTGTCCAATGATGAGAAATTACAAGTCTCCGTGTCTCGTGAACCATGCAACATGAATCGTCCTTGCCTCGGGAGATGACCAAGCTCGACTTGACATATCATGACATCTGTATAACTTGTGACTATGTGTGTATAGCTTGAGTGTGTGTGCAGACACAAGCAAATAAAAATGCAAAAGCTAAAATTTCCGTCATTTTTTGTCATGAGTGGAGGTTACTGACTTTCTCCCGATAAAGAAAGACGTGAAAAACGAAGTGAGAGTTTTCGAATTTCCGTGATAAAAACTTTGAAATTTTTTTTCAACTTCCCCAAAAGAAGAAAAATGAAAAATGGAAAGAAGTTTTGAACTTCCTCACTGAGAAAATTTTGAAAAAGTTTTTGAACTTCCTCGATGAGCAAAGCGAAATGAATTGTATGGATTTTCTTCTTGTCAAATTGAATTGCTCGTCTTGAAAATAATGTATGCATGATGAATGTTCCTAGGCCAGGAGGCTAAGGACAATTACATCATGTGACACGATCCACGAATGCACTTAGGTCATGAAGCTAAGTACAGTAATGTATGTTGCTTAGGTCAAGAAGCTAAGCATCACATAGTGTATGAAGAACAATCTTGATAAACGTTGCTTAGGTCTGGAAGCTAAGCACGTATATAGATGAAGTGATTGTTGAGTATTGCATAATGAACGTTGCTTAGGTCAAGGATCTAAGCACGATATGCTTTGTATGATTATAGATCTTTGATATATAAATGTTGCTAAGCACATTATGCAATGCGTGAAACAATGAATTGCTTAGGTCAGGGAGCTAAGCAAGTATACAATGTTTCTTTTAATGAATGTTGTCTTGAAAGATGATGGAGCATGCGCGGTAGGGGAACAAGATTTCATGATAAAGGGTTCCTACGGGAAGGATGATATGGCTATGTATGTGTGAAAGAAGTGTGTGAATGTGATATTAAGGCTGGCTGCAAAGGTTATGGTGATGGAAAGAGATGTGAAAAGAGTCGAAATGGTGACTCTTTAGGCTGTGTAGGCTAAGTGATGTGGGTTCAAGCCCCCAAGACTAGCTCTAGATGGATAAGGATGAGCATTGGATATGCATGGATGTGAATATGAATGTGGCTGCACCTCGATGTGAGGTTGCCTACGTATCCGTTAGGAATCAGGCTGAACGTAGCTCTAGCCGAACTTTGCACAAGTGTATGTACACCTCAAAGAGGTCTTTCAAGGGTTGTAATGTGGTTAAGCTGATGGTTTAAAGAAGAAAAGGGTAAAAGGCTAAAGACCCGAGAAAATCCCTCAAGATATGTAATTGTGTATTTGAAATTTGAACTTGCAAGTTTAATTTTTCACACATTTTTTTTGTTTTGAATTTTTGTTCTTTTTTTTTTCATTTTTTTTTATTTTTTTTATTTTTTTTGAATCAATGTGGGCAATCTCGGATCATGCGGTCCATCACTCACTTAGCATTCATGTTTCTCATGCACGGTACCAAACACTCGATAAGAGACACAATTTGAGACGTGTTCATATCAAAGTCATTGGACCACTTGCCCTTAGACATTGTTTTATTTTTGTCATTCTTTTTTTTTTTGAACTTGCTTTTGACTGTTACACAAATCACACAGCTTCCCATCCCAGGGTTAGGTGAATGTGGGTTGAAGAAATGAAGGCTAAACGTTAAATGAGGCTCAAAGTGGTTAATGAAGAAATGGATATGTGATTGAATGGTTAATGGGGAATGAATGGGTTGCAAAGGTGCCTCAAGTCGTTGGTGTACCTTGTGTTTGGTTCGGCAATTGATTTTTTTTTTTTTTTAATGAAAAGTGCTATGATCGAGATGTAAAGGAAATATACTCATTTTATTAATGGAGATTAAAAGATGAACGAAACACATAAAACATATAGAAATTCAAAACGGAAAACCTATACTAGACATGGAAGGGGAAAGGGAAATGAATGATAAAAAGAACAAAAACATCATGAAATCTTGTGCTGAGGCTTCATCTCGTGCCTTGTCTTCATCGTCGCTATCACTTGTCATCCAAAGGGACAGAAAATTGGTTTGCGTCCACTAAATCTTGAATAACGGCCTTCAAATACCAACATTGTTCGGTTGTGTGACCTTTTCCTTGATGGAACTTATAGTGAGAATTGGGGTTCCACGTGGCACTCCTTTGTTCAGGTTTTGGTTCTGGCAATGGTTCAATGGGTGTAATCAGACCTTGACTGTGAAGGCAATCAAAGGCAGCATCATAAGTCATTCCCAAAGGATTGTAAATTCTGTTTTTCTTTGACAGAGAAGTGTTTAGAGTTGGTACTTCATTGAGATTACACTATCATATATTATTGGGGGCGTTGTTA